TTTTTTTTTTTTTTTTTTTTTAACTCCTTTGCTTCTGGATCCAAAACCTTCTCAGGATCAAGGAGGGGACAGGAGACGGTCAAGACTTTTGGGATCCAAGCGCCTTAGCCTTGCGTGTCCAGCAAAGAGCGAAAAAGCCACCACATGCACGAATCATTTGTCCTTCCCAGGTGGCCTCCTCCTCAATATCATAACGCTTTGCTAGTACTATTTGTGGGGAGGGAGAAGGGCAGGCCAAACACCTGCGAGACGGTGACACGCACGCAGAGCAGCGCTGGTGGAGGAGGTGTACTACTGGAGCCCACGAGAAGCCATAAATGTTAGTTCCCTCGTCAAACATGAACTAACGCCATGGAGGATCACCAGCGTCAGAGGTGAGCACGGCCTGGGGCACGCAGAGCCCATCTCGCTCCCCTTGCCAGCCACAGCACACCTGACCTTAGGCCTGGAAATGGCCAGAGACTGAACTCTGCTCTCGCTCCCTCTGGTCTTGGACAGAGCAACCACCTTCCATTGCCGAGCCCTCTCCCCCACGCCGTCACCATCATTCCTGTCTGTGTTACAACCGCGTCTACAAGCTCCAGGTAAAACGGAGGTTTCCAGGTGTACCACAGGGGATGGACACTAAGATGGCGAGATACGCCAAGAACAGGGTGGGAAATGAAGGCATGGACCAGCAACACAACGGGCAACTAGTCTGGGAATACAACCCCCATCTCCGTCTCCTGCATTCCCACGTGGATCGCCAACTGCTGCCCACGCAGGTTGATTAGTGATTCTGTAACACCTACTGCGATTCCCCTCTGGATGTATTCAGGGCCAACTGGCCCTGTACCTGAGCAGAGCCTGCAGCCACAGCCTGGGCTGACTGTGTTGAAGTTCAGAGGTGAGCAGGGCAGCCCAGCTCCCCCGCTGCTGCACTGCTTATTAGACCAGCCTGCTTGATCCCAAGCACCGGCTGCGGGCAGCTCGGTAGGAAGACGGCCCTGAAACGCTTCCTCCATTGCTTTCTGGCCTCAGCTGTGCCAAGTATCCCAGAGGCCAGGCTGCCCCCAGCCTCCCTGACTGACGCTTCCTCTCCGGGACAAAGGGAACGACTGAACGCGAGAGGAATGGTGATGGGGCGCGTGCGCTGGGTGCAGCGGGCATGGCACGCAGCGCTCCTCCAGCCCGGCACCGGTGAGCCCAGCCGGGGTCAGAAGCTAGCCAGCGTGTACGATTTTAACCCTTCGCCTGCCGGTCCCCTCCACCAACCCAGCCACTCGGCCGAAACCAGGGAAGGTGCGGTGCTGCGGGGTGCCCAGCTCGGGCTGCTTCCCTAAATCCTTGTAAGGTCTGCTGTTCAGTGCTGCTCCCAAGCACCTTCCTGCCAGAGCCCTGGTGGGAAGGGAGGAGCGCTCAGCACTTTGCAAGCCCAGGTGGGAGCGCGGGCTGGGAATCAGGCCTGCACCTGTTCTGTTTGCTAGCAGCTGGCTGCCCAGTCGGCTCAGCCCCCAGCCTGCCCCCACCGGTTAGCTCACTGCAGCACACAGACAGCAGCCGACAGAAAATAAAACCCCCTCACCTGCAAGGAGGGCAGCAGGAGAAAGGCTCCCCACGGCAGCACGGCTGGGCAAGGAAAGAGCCAGCACGGGGCACCCTTTCTCCGCCATCGCCTTCCTCAGTCCGAGGCCAGCCAGCTTTGGAAACTAGGGATCCCAGTCAGCGGCGAAGGCATGACATGCCAGGCCCCTGGCTCGGTTTTGTTGTTAGGCAGGCCACGGCGGGGGGGCAACAGACTAATGTGTGGAGGGACACCGCTTGCTGGGGAGGCCAGCCGGCTGGGGGCACGTAATGCGGCAGCGGATCCGAGAGATACGCCAAGAGGCAGTGGGTGCGGCCAAGATTAGCATCTGGTCCTTTGTCATCTCTGCGTTAGATTTGGCACAGAACTGGTGCCACACTGCAAGGCAGACCTCCACGCTCCTCCCATGCCAGGTACCAACGCGCTCCCAGGTCCGTATCCAGCCCCGTGCACATCCCGATCCCTGGGACTGGAGAGTCGCGGGAAAAGAAGCCCCCGCGAGGGTGGCGCTCTCTGTACCGCAGCATCCTCGGCCTCCCAATGCGGCCAGGCAGAGGGGAAGTCAACCACTTGCTTGGCTGTCCCTGCCCAACCCGCACAGCCTGCAGAAGGGCAACGTGACAGGAAAGGACCGTACCTTGGAGTCATTTGTAGCCTTGCTAGAGATGAACAGCTGCTCATCTCTAGTGGGAGCCAACCGTGCTAGCAGGCGGGTTGTTATGGCAAGCCCTGCTATCTGATGAACTGGCTTGAGGAAGGAAGTAACAGCTGGTTACTGAGTGCTGATACTGCGAATGCAGCAAGGCGGCCTGTGCGCTTCACAAGGAAGTGCTTTAGCGAGGGCGCAGGGCGGAAGCGTATGTTCTGCTTGGGTTTTTTTTTTTGTGATCCTGTCAAGATAATCCTATAATCGAGAGAGAGAAAAGGGAAGAGCCTTCTCACATTACTGAGCCTCCCTGAGCCCGGGCTGGAAACTGGATGTTCTTTCCACCACGTGTCCCAACTGCTGCCGCTCTTGTGCTCCTTGCTACCCAGACAGCAAAGCCAGCTCGGTAAACATCACTGACCTCTGCAATTTCGGTTCCCATAGCTCATGCTCCCTTACATGCACACTGGGGTTCATAGCTCTGCTGCAAAAGGGACGGAAGGAAGGAGGAAACCACTTTTAACTGGGGCTGGAGACAGAACTTAGTGGAACCCACTGCAGGGTTAGTAAAACCCTTTCTTTATATACAGCCCAAAAGCCAAGAGTCCTAGGGCCTTGGCGGTGTCTGTAAGAGAGACGGGATGCCGTCAGGAACACACATAAGCGTAGGAGAGAACAGAGCAAGTGGAATCCACGGAGACTTGTCTGCATCCTCCATGCTTCAAAGGAGAGCCTGGAAACCTCTTGCATTGACAAGTGCTTGGAGGACAGAGAGGCCGGTGCCTGCTGGGAGCCGGGCTCCCCTTGCAGGTCACAGCAGCAGCAAGGCTCCTCTTGTTACAGAAGTTTGGGTCTCACCTAGCAAAGGTCTGCCTGACGGTGGGCAGAGATCTCCTGGAGCAATGCCCACCCCACCCCCTGCAGCTGTCCCTGCAACAGGCTCTAACTTCCTTGCATGACACAAAGACAGTTGCCAGAGATGCTGCACAGCAGACGAGGGCCGGGGCAAGAGGAGAATGCAATCTCTTCTGTTCTGAGATGCGCTGTACACAGGCCGCTTTGCAGATCCTGGGCTTGCCTGGGTGGGTTGCAGCTTGCTGGATGTGCTGACTCAGCAACAACTATTTCCACCCTCACCACTTGGCAGCCAAGGTTTCCAGGAGGTGGAGAAGTGGCCTCAGCAGTGAGGGTTGCGTGGGCTGCCCTGTACAGGCGAGGCACAGGGAGCGGATCCAAATATTCCTGGCTCCAGTGTAGCTCGGCTGCTTCGAGGCATCGCATGAACACTTGAGCCCTGCAGTGATGGATTCAAGAGGAGGACTCTGCTTTGGAACGTGTGACGCTGCGCGGGGAGCATCCCCCAGCTGAGGACCACCGTGGCATACATGGACATCAGTTGTGCTGGGCGTGCGGCACCCTGGAGCATTACCCTCCCTGAGACGCAGAGTCCTCCACTGGAAGAAGGAGCTGCTGAGTGCCCAGGAAGGAACATTATGGAAGCCAATACTGGAATAAATAGATGGGGTGGGAGCTGGGGCCCTCCCGTGACACCTGTTTCTCCAAGGATAACCATGCTCTCCCCCTTAGCACCTGGTGGGGGTTATCGCCTCAAACGTCTTCAGGCCTTTGACACATCCAGAGTGCAGACAGGTAGACAGTGGCTGCCCTCTGCACAGAAGTACCCCACCCTGGGGCTCCTGCCCTCTGCACTCCCTGGTGCAGAGATTTCATGGCAAGTCCGGGGGAAGAGCAGAGGACAGAGCCTGAAGTCCTGACTCCCAGCTCTGTGCCCTGAACACCAGCCAGGTTCCAGTGCTTGGAGTGAGCCTGGGCCCAGGAGGGGCCAGAGAAAGGGTCTGGGTGAGGGAAGAAACCAAAAAAGACCCTTTGCCCAGCTTGCAGAAGGCTGGAAATCCCTCCAAAGCATTCCCTGCCCATGTGTCAGGTAGCAGGGTTTGACCCAGGCGCCAAGGCCCACAAGCCATCCTGAAAGGGACCTGAAGAGCCACCCCTTATTTGAGAACTGGCCAGGCTGTGCCACAAGGTCCTGCCACCAGCTGGGAAGGTGCTGTCCATCCTCATGGGAACATTAGGTGCAGTGTTAACTGAGCGCCGAGAGGCTGTGGCATCCTGACGTGACCCCATCACCTTGTCCCACCAGCCCTGGGGCTGGCACTAGTTATGTTGGATTTGCCTTGGGCCCAGGATGGACCCTGCTTCCTGCGTCTTGGAAGAAAATTCACCCCGGGGCAAAGTATCTGGTCAAGGTTCGACATGGGCCACAAAAGCCCTTAGCTTGGGCCTCACGTAGGGCAGAAACTTCAAGTGGACACAGGTGAACTTCGCCCGTGGTCTGAGGATCACCCAAAGAGGCTCCTTCATACCCACAAGCAGCCGTGCTGTCCTTGTCCTGCACCCTTCCTTTCCTGTTGCGTCCCTGGCCCTTGTGACAAGCTATTTAGCAGAATTTGCAGATTTGTTGGAATCCAACATGGCTGTGCCATGACCACTTGTGCTGTGGCCTCAAACTTGTGACCTCTGGGCTGTCAACCGTGCTCAGCACTTGCACCACCCCAGCCCTCCTCCTGGACCCCATTGGCATCAACAGGAGCTGAGCGCCGTGGGTCACAGAACATTTTCGTTATTGCCCATGGAGAACAAACAAGGTCACCTCCCATCTGAGCAGAGCTCCTTCATGCAGATGTTCTTGCTACAAATTTAGACTGCTGCCATCAGACCCACCAGGCTGACCGTGCCTTCCCTGGCCGGACAGCTTGCATCAAGACCATTCCCCGAGGGCCACTAACGTGCAATCACGAAGATGCTCCATGCCCCAAAGGGCCTATGGTGCCCGCATGCGCCTGGCTCTCCTGGTGACCCTGAGAGCACTTTCAGCTGTGTGTCAGGAGTGTCCAAGCCAAGATCGGCTCCATGGATTCAAGGGGAAACCTGCTCCCCTTGGCCAATAGTCCAACAAACAGGGATGGGTGGCAAAAAGATTCTGGATGCGAGTATCCCCTGTTCTGCTGCGTAAGGGTTTTTCACAGGGCCTTTTCCCCCTCCCGAGTTTCGCTGGGTGGGATGTGCCCCTCTGAAAAATACAGAGGATTCCAACTTACCATCATAAGACAGCACGTGGCCTTTCTTCCCCTCATAAATGACATGTCCTTTGGGCAAGGCATCCTCTCTCACTTTCTCCGCTCTGCTGGGGCTGTCTTCTCCGATTATTCTGGTAATGGTTCCTTTGTACAGCACTTCAGCTGGGGTGCCCTTGGAAAGCCACCAAGATCCATATTTAACAGTGTCACAAGCAATTAAGCAAGAAAGCGCTCTCACACACACAGGAACACTCTGTTCCAACAGGGAGGTTGAGCAGAGGAGAGCGCACAGCTGAACTCCACTTCCTGTCAGAGCCAAGAGCGAGAAATCTGCGGCTTAATTATTGATGAGGACAATAATGATCAACGGAAAAAAGGTACATGATTTGTACGTGGTTGCTGGGAAGAGATGGGGCGAGGACAACGCGGGGATGGCAGAGGGGGAACAGAGCTCGAGGCAGCCTGCCTTCCCCGTGATAGTCACAGAGCAATTCAGGCTCCGAAGCGCCAGCAGGCAGAGCAGGGATGGGAACGCCAAGCCCCTGAGCTCTCGCCGCTCAAAATAGTCCTCGCTCGCTCTGCCCAGCCCCACACTTCTCCAAGGAAACTCTCTGGACTATTTCCAGCCCTCTGGATTGCAAGGACAAGCCCAGCCACAGCTCTGCGTTCCCAGAGGACATCCTGCCATGACAGGACTATTTTTCTTTCCTATGGGACCGTCTTGCCTGCAAACTGTTTTCTCAGGGATTGAAAAGATGCCCAGCAAAGGCAGGGCACAGGCAGTCACAGAAGGACTGACCTTCAAAAGAGCCTGCTGTCAAACAGCCCAAAATGCTCCATCCCACCAGCATGGTGCCAGTCTAACCCGACAGATTTGAATGCAGCTGCTCCCTTCCAGCGCAGAGGAAGCAGAGAGGAGAGGCAGACCCATGACTTTGCTTGTCAACACAAAGCAGTTGCCAAAGGCCCTTTGAAAATCCCAGCCCTCGCTGCTAAGCGGTCCTCTGCCTTTGCAACCTGTTCACAGGTCGAGAGAAAGACTCCACCCGAGGCGAAGCCGACCGCTCTGGCTCCACCATCTGAGCAGTAAATAAACAGCACTTGGGATGTAAGTGTAGAAGCATGCGTCAGAGCCGTCCCTGCTCCCAAATGGGAGTAAAGTTCACCCTTGTAAGGCAACCCTGAAGTCCCACTCCAGCGCAGCTCCGCGAGCCTGGCGCTGACTCCGTGCAGGGATGAAACTCGCCCTATCTGGGCTCTATCCTGGCAAGCCTCAGGGGAACTGGCTGCAGGGAACTGAGCTCTTTTTATCTGCAAACAGATTGAGATTTTTTTCCCCCTAATTTAGCTGGTATTTGGACCGGTTCAACGAATGTCTGACTGGCACGGATTTCAGCTTCCAGGGACACTTGCCAATCACTTAGTGGGCTATTGTGCAGATTTTTCTCTCTGTGCTAGGCAGGCTGCTGCTCTGCTCTTGGGCTGAAGAGCTCAAATCCTCTTCTGAACAGGAGGGGGACAGCTCTTGGGACACAGATTTTTTTTTGCACAAATATTCACAGGAGCATTTGGCTCACTTGTTAGTGAACAAACACTGCTCAGACAGTGACCAAGGCTGTCACTGTCTTGGGAACAAACTCGCATGAATGCTCCTGCTAAAAAATAAGAGCAGGTGTCCAAGAGAAAGGCTCTGGCAGAAGGGAAGTCTGGCAATCGGTGGAGTGATTCTTCCACTGCTCAAAGAAGGGTCAGGAAAGGAGGTGTGTAGGATGCCATCAGGTGTGTGGCAAAGGGTCAGAACTGGGAAACTTGTGGGTTAATCTGGCCCTTGGGGGTCTATCTACTCAAACAGGATTTAGGTGCCTAAACCCCACTGAAAGTCAATGGGAGTTAGGAACAGCTTTAAAAATCTGGCTCTCACATGGAGGCCTCTTCCCTGATAGCACGGCCTATGGGAGGAATCTATTTTTCGAGTGCACAAAGGATGGAGTTTGCCAAGCAGCAACCTCTGCCCACTCCTGGTCTGCGTGCCGGGTTGGGAAATCTGATCTGCTTGCTGCCTTGCCGCTCCCCAGACACTAAGAGCAATCAGATGACATGGCCAGGCTAAGTGAACAGACCAGCATTAGTGCTGTGGGGTGTTTGCAGTAATGAACTTGGCTCTCGTGCCAGTGCCCTGCTTTGGTGGTGCCAGAAAGGTGTTCAAATCTGTTGGGACAAGCTGTTTCCTTCTCCCCACCTCTCTGAAATGCCTCTGCATGAAACTGCGGAGGCCAGACGGTGCACACCAAGGGGCAGGTTTCAACGCTCTAATTGCTTGCTCAGACCCCAGCTCGCAGAAGTGCCCCATGCTGCTTCTCGCACTGCCAGGTAAGTTTTCGTTCTGCAGTGGATGAGCTTGAAGGGGATTTGACTGCAAGAGGTGACAGATGGTCTCAAAGCAGAGAGTGCGCATTCAAGATCTGTCTCCTGTGAACTGGACGAGTAATCCCACATCAAAGAGCAACCACAGTGCTGGGAGCTGCTGGAAAGAGCCCAGGGCTCTGTGTTGCCCTGTCCTGAGAAGGATGCCGGTTGCTGGGTCAATGGGTGTCACAGGCTCTGCACTGGCCCACAGGGTAAGAGAAACAGCAGCCAGACAGGCTGAAAACAGCCCTGGGCAGTAACTCCTTCCCTAGGACAGAAGCAAAAAAAAACTGCCCCCAAAGAAGTGATGTCTCTAGAAACCTTGTGTATCCTTGACTGAGATTTTCCTCTCCCACCCATGTCCCCTCTAGTGGCAGGGGAGCAGATCTCCCCAGCTCAAAGCAGCCAGACAACAATCAGGGTGTTTATAAGTGGCTTTAAATATCTGAATGACCGCCAGATAAAAATCCCCAAGGGAAAGAGATTTTTTTTTTATGCTCTCCGCTCAGTTACCAGATGAGCAATAACTCACACCACAAAACTATCACCCACTTGGCAGCTGTGCTTCTCAAGATGAATGACAGAGATTACGGGCAGAGCGTTGTTCCGCCCGGCTTGGGAGGGCTGGGCACAGCCTGACGCATGTGGGGCTGCTGCGGTGGGGTGGGAGGAGGAGGGAGAGATCCTGCAGATTTATCACCCCCACCTGAACACCCCACTCCCATTTCCTATCGGGGGCTGCCTTTCCCCCGCCCCACGTCCTCCTGTTTTCTTTCATTTCTCTCAGACAAGATTAAATGCAGTGGTTTTTTTAAAAAACTGCCTCCCCCTCCCTCTCTCAAATCCAGACACCCAGGAGCAAAAGGCATTTCAGATGCGATGCAGCTTTGGCCTCCAGCAAAGGCTGCTCACTTTTGCATTTCCCCAGGCTTGGACAATGGAACTGGGCCAAGACTCAAGATAATCTCCCTTGGTGCAAGGCTCTCTTGCCCCTTCCTGTCCTCCCTGCGTTGCTGGTTGGGGCACACCATGTGGGGCTGCTGATAAATGTTCACATGGGAGGGGGTTGTGGCACCCATTCTCCCTTTCTGCCCAAGATGGACGCACACTCAGCTCCGCTGGGGTGAGTCAGGTCACTGCATCTTCCCACAGAGTCTACTGCTCAAGTCTTCATGTGCTCTTGGCTTGTCCTGCTCAATTTCCTAAGGATGCTTCTGCATGCTGGGATGTCCCCTGCTCTCAGACTCCCCTGCTAAGCACCAACCTGTTGCGATCACTTCTCTGTTACCAGGAGGGGCGTATCCACTGATAGTGACCATCTCTACCCAGACCTCACTGCAAACCTCAGCTGTTAATAGCTGTTTGTTCTGTAACTGATAAGAGGAGGAACTTACGTGGGTGATGGAGCCTCGATAGGTGATGGGCGATTCTGGAGGAGGCCTGGAGGTGGGGATTCCCTTTGTGATGCTCCCTCCAGAGGCTGGGCCCAGTGCTGCCCCTGCAAATCACAGCAAAGCAAGAGGAGTAAGGCAAAGGGCTGTGCAAAACCCTGACACCCCACCTCACCCTGCACAAAATCCTGGATGGTTCAGTGCAAGGACGCACTCCCTTCAGTAGGACAGGCTCCAGGCATTATCCTCCGCAGCCCCCATCAGGGATGGACATAATTATCCTGTGTCCATGCAGGCCATTCAGTTGCTGTAGAAGGTGCATTGCTAGAGTCCAAGACTTACTGTATCCCACTGAATTCAGAATCCAGCCTGCTCTTTGGAGGAGACAGGAGGAGAGCTCAGGGTGCTGATACAAACCTCCTGAGGGACCTGGCTGTTTGAGGAGCCTACCTAACGAGGCCTGGTTCCAATCAGCGTGCAGCACTGCGGAGAGGAAGCAGCACCCCATGGCTACTCTGAACCTTCTAGCCTCCAGCCCTAGTCACGAGGGGCTGACACATCTGGGAACAGCAGGAAACCAACCCAGACCCATCGCCCTCAGCATTACCTCAACAGACCTCTATGGAGAGTCTGCAGCGGGGCCGGCTGGATGCGCTCGTATTCCATCTGCTCTGATCCTGAGCCAGCCGAGGCACTTCCTGAATTTGGCTGAATTCACTGCTTGTTTTCTGTTTGTTTTTTTTTTTAAAGATACTTTCATTTGCATTTTGAGGGGTTTGTGCCTCCTCCTTTTTTATATGGAGAAAAGGGACTTGGATTGAAAAATGCACCATGCTCTATATCAGATGGCCCTGTTATTCCCCAGGGGGGCTGGGTGGAGAAGGTAATCCACTTAGTTTACACATCACTTGATCTGCTTTCTTAACTAGCAGCACAGCGCACTGCCCTTTAAAGCTCGTGATGGAAAAGCCTCCTCTTCCTGAAAAGCTAGCAGCTCAGCTGGGTTCAAAGTTTGGGGCCCAGCTGTTGCAAAATGGTGAGAGCTTTCAGGTAGCCACCTTGAGACTCAGCACAGATCTGAACACCTGTCCTCTAAAAGCAGGCCGCCAGCTGAAACCCAGAGGCAGCCAAGATCATGAATTGCTTTTGGAAAGCTGGGCCTGGGTGGTTGATTTACACAGGAACCCCCCTGGCAGCCCCTCATTGGAGCGGGGATCTACCTTCCTCCCTCCCTTCCCGTCTGCGCTGTGATGTGCTTACCCCTCAGGATGGAGCTCTCCTGGGACGTCTGCATTACTAGGTTCTCAGGCTGGTTGGCCTGGCTTCTAGGAGACAGCTGCTCCTGCTTGACTCCAGGGAAAGGCACTGGAAAACATGGACCACATGTGACAATATCAGCACTGCACTGGTCACCAGCAGGCAGTGCTCCCCCTGCATGGCTCTCCTTCTCCCTACTCCCTCACTTCCATCTTTTCCAGTCCAGGGTCTTCTCCCCCTCAACTGCTCTGCATCCTAGGCTGCAGAAGACAGGTCATGAATAAACCCTAGGTCGCTGGCCTGCTGCTATACAGTCAGCAGATGACACTGTTCCTGATGACCAGGGAAATCCAATTCCCATTATCCCCTCTGCAAAGGCATCTCCCAGGATGCCAGGCAAACCACCAGGGGCCCTGGGATCCCAGCTGGTGTCCCATGACACCCCTGGCCAAGCAGCAGGACCATGTTCAAGCACAGAAAGTCTGGCCGCACTGTTCAAACAGGCTGAATAATTTAAACCTGTGGGTATGTGCAGCTGTACAAACTCAGAGCTACTCCGAGGCCCCTGCAGAAATCAGCACTCTGGAATAGCAGTTACGGGGGCAGGAGGTGGCCCCTCCCTCAGCATGCATCAGAAGTTGGCTGTGGCAAGAGTAATGCTGGGGCGATGGACTGACTGCCTGGCCTGCTATGGCAGCTCCTGCAGAGCTGGAGTGGCAGTAACCCATCCCCTGAAACAGAGCAGCACCCTGGCACTGGGAGCAAACCTGCAGCCTCCATGGGCCAGGACAGCACAGCGTCCTGCTGTAAACACGCGGTGGGACCATGCAGGCAGGATGCCCAGGGAATCTTCGTTCTTCTTCTCTCTTTTTCCTATGCCTTGTCCTCCCGTGGGCTGGGCTAGGATAGGAGCTCTCTCTCAGGAGTCTATTCCCTGGCCTGATTTCTCCAAACATTCCCAAATCTGCCGATTAAAAGTTTTCTTTGTTCGCTCCAGGCTGGTGACTCTTTATTCCACAAGGCCTGGAGAGCGCAAATGAATTTCCTTCCTTCCAGCAAGCTCCGAGATATTTATAGATAGGGACCATGTCCCCAACCAAGCCTTCTGCTCTCTTGACCGTATGAATATAGCTGCCTCTGCTTCCCCCTCATGCTCAGTTAAGGCTTTTAGCAGTTTTGTTCCCCTTTGCGCTCCCTCCGCTTTGATCATAGTTTCGCCTCAGGCAGGAGGGGCCAGAATGACCTAGAATACCCCGTGCACAATCCCCCCCAGGGCTATAAGTAGACATTATGACACCCTGGGGCCGCCATCTCTCTATCTATAGCAATTTTCCTTCTCAGCACTTTGGCTCGCTTTTTTCACAATTGCATCGCACCGAGGTGGTGCATGCACATGGCTGTTTGCTACCACCTTTTCCCAAGCTGTTCCCTGGTGATTATCCGGGCTGTTCATTTCCTCTCCCTCACTGTGTGGCTTGATGCTTGTTCGTATTGATGTTCACCTCATCCTGAGCTTCCTTATCTTCTAACTTCTCCAGAGTGTTTCCTTTGGATTGTCATCTCCCACTGTCCCAGGCTAACTCAGTGCTGGGTATTTCCCCTCCTTCTCCCTATTTTGTGTAAGGTCCCTTTGGGACCTTACTATTCATGGTCATCAACATATTCTTCATCCCTAGTTCTTTCTTCCCTACCTAGGTTGCTTTCTTACTGGTTTACTAACTGGGACAATAGCAATGCCTTTTCTGTACTGGCCTAATCCTGCACTCAGTTCCTGTGCTGTTCCAAGACTGGGGCCAACACAGGCACAAAATCAGGTCTCTTTGCCTTCTGTAGACCACAGCCTCTTGTGACAGCAAGGTCACAGTCTCTAGACAAATAGGTCTGGTACTGCTGGATGGTGCTGGATGGGCAGCACTAGGAGGGCCAAGGCCTCTGCATATAGAGCAGGCACAGGGCCGGCAGTGATAAGGTTTGCTTCTCCCATATTAATGTTCCACCTCTGTGCTCACAGCTTCACCTGCGAGAACCGAGAGAAGATTCATTCAAGCCTCTACTGAGCCTGCTAATAAGTTCACTGAGCAAGCGACTGAATTTTGCCGACACTTAGGATCATAGGAAAATAGGGCTGGAACGGACCTTGGGAGGTCACATCTAGTCCAGCGCTCAATTCGGGGAAGGATCATCCCTGACTGAACCCAGCCCATCCAGGCTGGAAGGGACTCCTTGTGCGTGAATGCGTGAGATGAGCCCCCGCCCCGCACTGTTCCACCTCTGCCAGTGTGCGGTGACACTGTGGTCGCTGCTCATCAAGGCTGGGTGAAACGGGGGAGTTTGAAAAGCTCTGCATCCTGCCTGGATGGCGTCCAGCTCCCAAAGCACTGCCCCACCCCACCCCAAGGAGCACCCGCTATATGCATGTGCTCAACTTGAGCAGGGCAGCTACCAAGCAGCCACACTGACCGTTCCCACAGAAAGCGAAGCCCCTACATGAGCCAGCCCATGAAGAGACAAACAGACAGCTGGCATGTGAGCCACTTACCCAGCTTCTTTGGATCCATCAAGGGCAGTCCCATGGTGATGGAGCCAATGGGAACCTTTGCATGCTCAGAGCTGTACGGAGGATGGAGCTGAATGGGCACCCCCTGCAAAACAAGGCAGAGAGGTCACTCGAGGCAGGTACTGGCACAGCTCAGGGCCGCAACCTTCAGCCATACGTCTTTCGAGAGAGTGATTACCCAGTGCCCTCTGCCCATGAACCACAAGAGAGACATGGCAGGAAACAGCTCTGAACCCACAGCCACACCACCTTCCACCATGGCCCACACTTGTCTCTGCCCTTACCTGGGAAATGGAGCCAATGGACCTCTCCAACACTGAGGAGTGTTTAGTGGATGAGATGAGAGGGGGAGGGTTGGAGATAGCAGGCAGCCTTTGCAGTCCAGGCCGAGAGCTCTCATGTAAATTTAATGGGATTGGGTGCCCTGCGCACAAAATATAAGGCGTGAAGGACCCTGAAAAAGAACACGGTCAATCTATCGGCTAAAGGGAGAGATGACAGGGGGCAGGGACAGAGAAGACAGACTAGACATCAGGAGGCGCTACTTCACTGTCAGGGTGGCCAGGATCTGGAACCAACTTCCAAGCCAAGTGGTGCTGGCTTCTACCCTGGGGGGCTTTAAGACAAGGCTGGACAATCACCTTGCTGGGGTTGTTTGACCCCAGTACTCTTCCCTGCCATGGCAGGGGGTCGGAGTTGATGATCTGCTCAGGTCCCTTCCGACCCAACCAACTATGAAACTAAGAAAGAGGGGGCATGCTGGGAGAGCTGATGGGCTGTAGATGCAGCTGCTTGGGCACTGCAGCCATGAATGTTCAACATTTCCCACTGCTGCATGGATCCCGATCTTCTCAGGCTTCACCTCTGTAGCACAGAGGGGATAAGCTGCTCCATGGTAGGAAAAGCAGCCTCGTAGGCCACCTCTGAACTGAGGCCATTTCTGCACCTTGCCCAGGCCTAAATGTAGCACAGGAGGTCACCTGGCCACCCCAACTGTGAAGCAAAGGACCCTCTGTTGGCCGCGCATATCCAGATGGGCTCGGTATGTACCGAACAGGAGCCTGGCTTACCTGGAGGGTTGTACTGGAACAGGTGTGGCTCAACTTGGGGGGAAGTTTTGATTACTTCCCTGGAGGGCATCTGGAAGGACAGCACAGGGGGCCAGCAGGAGGTTACAGGCTGCTCCCCACCCAGCTTCTGTCCCTCTGCGATGGAGAAGTGGGCTGGCTTCTCTGCAAGGGGAAAACAGAATGGCTTGTTAAACCATGCTGCGACTTGCTCCGCACGCATACTCTTGGACAGAGACCCAGTGTGGAGAACAGGCAGGTGCTGGATGCATCTTAGCAGGGCCTGAAACACCAAACAGCTTCGCTTCACAGCAACCCACAAAACAGGCCCCGAAGGGTTTTCAAAATGAGTGAGGTGGATCTTTTTCCCCCCACTTTTTTGCTTCTTTCTGCTAAAATCCTAGGTTTTATTTACAAAGCTGTTCTTAAAAGGCTCTCTGGATGACTGCAGAGCCGATGTCAGAGGGAGCATGCAAACCAATCTCAAACTGGGTTTTATTCAAACTGATCGAAACATGCAGGGGGGAGGGAAAGAAGCAAAACAAGTGGTTTGTTTTGTGGCTTTCTGTTGTGTTTTCGATAACATCCATCTTACTCAGACACTTAATGCATTGCTGCAAGAAAAGAGACCTCGGCGAGAGATTTCACATGTACCCCTTCCTTCACTTTAGGGCTGGAGATCATACTGCCCAGCTGGAACCTCTGACGACATCTCTTGCAACCTAAAGGAAGCTCGCATTGATGATCTTACTATTTCTAAGGGAGAAACAGGGGCAGAAGTTAAATGCGGCGACGCTTATTTCTATTACAGCAGCATCTAGAGCCTCAGCCGAGATGACCATTTTTACCTGCAAGGTGCTGTACGTATGTGCAGGAAGAGACTGCCTGTGCCCTGAAAAGCACGCAGTCTGTATGGACAAGCACAAGGGAAGGAACAACCCCAGACCAAACCTTCAGGCCTTCTGCATGCACCACAGAGATGCAAAAAGGGTGCAAATATTCCCTTGTTGTGTTGCAAGTCACCTTTACAGTCAGGCATGAAAGCAGAGCCAAGGTGCAGCTTGGAGAGATGCAGTAAGTGGTTTCCTCCAGGCTGTTCTTGCTCAAGCAGATTTTTCTTGGTAACTCTGTGCTCCACCCATGGAGCAGGGCAGCAGACTCCCCACCTCCTCCTGTCGCACTCTGCCTGTGTCTCCCACAGGGAGGCTGAGAGCAACGCACAGGCTTGCACAGTGCTCACGAGCCGTGGTGCATTGCCAGGGCACTCCCAGCAGCCCCTCGCCTTGAGTGGAAAAAAAAAAACCCTCCCCAACTAGCTGGGGAGGACAAGGCCTGTAACAACAGTGCAGGGCCAAGGAAAGGAAGAAGCAAGCCTGTGTCTCGCCTCCATCTCCAGATGGCTCCGACAGGCACGGCAGAGGTGGAGGCCCCTTCGACAGAGGGGACCACATGGTGAAAGAGAAAGGAGAGGGCATGGCCAGGCAATGAGGAGAGGCAGAGAGCAGAGCAGCAGCCCAGGCTCTGGGGCAGAGGAGGGAGGAACATTTCTCCAACACCCAAGGGCTTTGGGAACCTAAATTCCAGTTGTCTTAAGGGCCTTGGGTACCTGCATCTCACTGGGGTTTAAGCTCCAGCAAAGCAGCCCAGAACAGGCCTCGCCAAACCTGCACGGGTGTCTATGTGCTTTGCTTCCCTGGGAAAACTTTCCTGCCAGCTCCTTTTTAGCCCCTTCAGCAAAGCAGATGTTACATCTCCTCTCCCGCACGTTTCAAGCAGATCTTGAATTCATCTTTCTGCTGGGACCGGCTGACCACGAGAGGGCTGCAGGACCTGCTCAAACTTGCTGGTGATGCTGGTTCCACCCCAGTGCAACACCACCGACTTCAGTGGAGTCCAGGACCCATGCTCGTTATATTTGCAGGTTTGCCTTCACAAGTAGGGAACCGCCAAGGAGGAGAAGGCTCGATTCGTCTCACTGCTCTGGAGTGCTTATGGCAGCACGGTCTCAGGGCTGTGTGTTTGGCACCACGAGCAGCACACAAAAAGGCTTCCCCACCACGAAGAAACAGAAACGAATCATAAGCAATTTACTGTCCACTGGAACAGCGCAGAAATACAGAATAACGGCATCCGCTTCCTGGGCAACCAGGGAGCAATTTGTAGTGTGTGAAGTGACCAGATGTGCTCCTAACACCTGGGACAGCTGTGGCTTGTGAGCGACTGTCAAAGGCCAAGAAAGATCTAGGCAGCCTCTGAGACGAGACTGGACACCCTTCCAGGAGACGTCACTTCTAGCTCAAGTGAAGCTGTTGGGCTTGACCAGCCATTCCACGGCCTGTGTTACCTGGGCATCAAATGAGATGCTCCACGGACCCGTCCCAGCTTTCAGACTGGTGAAGGCAACTAAAAGCCAACACTCCCCAAAGGACCTCACGGCCTGGATAAGCAACTTCACACACCTCCGCCAGGCTGGATGATAAAGGGAGAATCAGGCCCCATGATGATGCCCCTGAGGCCTCTAATGCTCTGGTCCAAAATGGAAGTGCTTGGCCACCATCTCCATGTACTCTGCAGCAGCTTCATCCCATGCACCAACCAGCGTGCTAGCTGAGGGTCTGCACAACAGAGTGAAGTGCCGTTAGCGTGCATCCTGACCCTAGCCCTGCCTGGATTAAAGCTTTGCTAGGGAGCGCCACGAGAGCTCCCGATTCAGGGGATGGGGATTACCAAAGGCCCTGTGTAATGAGGCTTTCCTCCACTGTCACTGTTAGTGCTTGGTGTGCTCTGGAGCTGGGAGACTGCTTTCACGCCCTGTGCGGGGTGATGCAGGGAGTCTGCTACCAGCAGGTCTGTGCACTGATCCAAGCCAGGCCCACATACCAGAGTGGATGTGGCCAGCTCCATACTCAGTACGCTGTGGACTCCCCATTTCCATTTCAAACCTTGGAAGGACCAATTCACTCATGACACACGAACCAGAGCCTCCCGTGCCATTCACCACGAGAGACACCTTTTGTGAACTAAGTCCCTGCTCCAGTCTACACTGCAGACGTTCAAGAGGGCCTAGCACTTCTTCCAGGGGAGAGTTCTTGCCCACCAGTGCCCATTTCTTCGCCTCTGCTTCCTGGAAGAGCTGCCGTGCCCCATGCCCGAAGTGGCTGCACGCCAGTGGTGCTATACCTGCAGCATGGGACGTGCCACTGGATCCTTCTGGGTGGAGGTGACATCAAGATACCATTAGCCAAGTGCACACATATCTCAGAAAGGCGACTTCTCCTCCTTCCCCCGGGGGAGCTGTTCCCACTTACGG